TACATAACCTCCCTGCTCGAAGGAGAGCTCCGAAAACTCAAGGCAGTAAAAACACTGGAAGTGTATGAATTATTTGAGGTCGAGGACGCCGCCTCTGCAGCAGAACCTTTAGCCGATAACCTCGAGCCCAGAAAACTCATGAAAAGAAAGAAGCTTGATATCGCAGAACCGACGATGGTATGGTTTAGGAATAGAGCCAGCAAGATGGGTAATGGGAAAGGAGAAGAATGAAACAGTAGCAATGAGGATATCTGCAGGGCTCCTCAAATTGCAGGATGAAGGATATTTTATATATGTGACAGGGAAGGAACTGAATGGGGGATGAAGAACAGAGTTCTGAGGAAAGTGCTTTTGCTTTCAGGGATCGATGATGATCTTGTAAGCGGTAGCTGGAATGGAGAGAAATTGCACCTAATTAATAATAGCTTGTGCTCATCCACGTGAAGCTCTCTCAAACGGGTCTTCGCCTGTTTGTGTCAGCAATTTCAAGCATTCAAAGTCTCGGATTGTTGATATAGATATCCTGGGGCGATATACCTTTCGAAGCTCAAAGTATGTTCCTTCTTGATCTTTGCAAGGATACCTCAGTATTGGTGAACCAGGCGAATGTTCAAATATTGTTCGTAGATTGGTAATATGACATTGACAATTCAAACCACTCAGTCTGGTCTTTATATAAAACATAATGAGTGATTTGACACTGGCCCATGAATTTTTGAAAGTCGGAGATGCCTTGAACTTTTGGATCTTGTTCGTTCCTTCAATCGTACTTGGTGACCATTTGCTGCCCCCTTTTCACATACATCTTGCCCTCTTCATACCTCGTATCGTCTTTATTGAAATATTACCACGAACTCTAACATCTCAATAACTCATACATATCTCCGGACTCTCATCTCGTCACATGTTCTGAACACCAAGAGTGAAGCGGACTTATATAGCTCTTCATATCATCTCACTCCATCAATCTCATCGCAATGTATCATGAATATGAACCACTTTTCTTCGAAATCACGATTCGAAAAAGGACAAATGGAAGAATAAGTCCGCACTCACGTGCACCACCTGACTCAAAAATTGGAGCTAGAGCACTAGCGCCAACAGATCATGACGGCATCTTTGAGTTCCTCCCCACACTCCGAGACTCCCAACCTTTACTGACATCCTTCATATGAACATCAATTTGTCCTTAGAGTAAATTTTATACAGAACATTAACGGATAACCACTTTATAAATTATGTACCAATTGTGAAAATTCCGTCTCATATCGCAACGAGATCGCCACTTTCAAGTATAAAATCACAGCTTCCACGTGCAGACGTGAATCATGATCCTAACATCAGACCATCAAAACCCCAACCTCAAACTCTCGTGCGCCGCGTACGTCAACCACATCTTTCCACAATAGACAATACACCCCATACCCAAGAACTGGGTGAGGGGTCGCAGATGTCGATCTTTGACGTCGATCTAGGACATGCATATTCGGCACACGCGTTTGTATCGATGTGGAAACGTGGGGTGCGGAGAAGAGCGCTCGGATCAAAATAATGCTTCTCTGTATCGTCTCGCAGCGGAAAGAAATAAATTTCCGCGTTATTGTCACGAATGATATTCCTTCTGAGTGGAAAGAATGCTCCGAAGTTGATGGCTATCTTGCATTGGCGTAGATCATCACCATGTAAGTAATACAGCATCAAATAAGTATATCAACCCTTCTTTCTGTGCTTTTTTTCTGCTTCCTTTCATACCCCCTACCCCAATTCTTTACGCAAAAATGGCATCATCATCACACCATGACCGCAATCCCCATCCCGCCCTCTATATCGGTAACCCCTTAGCCCACGCTCATACCAATTCCTCCAACTCCATATACTTTGCCCCCTTTGCTGGTGCTCTCCAACCCGGTCTGTATCGAGCTCCTAAGAAAAACATAGCGAATCCTGCACCTTTAGGACTTGCTGCTTTTGCATTGACGACATTCGTATTAAGCTTGATAAATTGGCATACGAGAGATGTTTCGGAGCCGAATATTGTGGTTGCGTTGGCCCTTGGGTATGGTGGGTTGGTTCAGTTATTGGCGGGGATGTGGTATGTTAAATTCTCTTATATCTGTTGATTCATGTCTACTCAATTTATTGCGGAGGAATATCGGATTAGAGTGTGTGAAACTTTGGCTGATGAGGAATGACGCAGGGAAATGGCAGCCGGAAATACGTTTGGTGCCACGGCATTAAGTTCCTACGGAGGATTTTGGATATCTCTCGCGATTATCTTGACACCAGGTGGATTTGGAATTCAAGCCTCCTATGAAAATCCAGTACATTTTTACTATGCGTTTGGATTTTTCCTCATGGTAATTCCTGTCTTCTTAGTTATACCCCCTTCACCACATAAGTCCACCAACTAACATTTCTCCAGGGCTGGTTCATATTCACATTTATCCTTTGGATCCTCACCCTTCGCTCCACCGTCGTCTTCTCCTTTCTCTTCTTCATGGTCGTTCTCACCTTCCTAATGCTCGGTCTCGCCTACTTATACCCTGGAGAAGCAGGTCCAAATGTGGCTTTCCAAAAAGCAGGCGGAATGTTTGGACTCCTAGCAGCGTTTGCAGCGTGGTACGTAACGCTAGGTGGATTGGCAGATGATTCGAATAGTTTTTTCACGGTGCCAGTGTGGCATTTCCCATGGAGTGATAAGGGAAGAGAGACGAGAAGGGAGAGGAGTGGAAGTTTGGAGGAGGGGAGTGTTGGGGGGAGGAGCGAGGAACAAAAGACTAGGCAAGCAAGTGTATAGTTGAGGGTGGATGAATGTTGATGTGATGGGAAATTGATCTGAACGATATTCAAAATGGTTAGATGGGCGTCAATACTCTGTGGAAATAGTTGCGACGATGTAGCGAATGTTTGTAAAAGTTTGAGAAGTACATATACCATGCGTGAAAGAGTTGTAGAAATAGAAGAAATTAACAGTAAAAGAATTGATCCAATTGAAAATAGTGTTATCAATGGCCACCACCATTGCACTTGTCGTTCATACGTCCATGATATCAATCCCATTATGGACATAAAAGACTTTTCGCACTCCAGACTGCCGGGAATGATGTTCCGCTCTTGTTCCTAGAGGTATTTCGCATGGACCGGAGAATTGGTTAACTTCATCTCTTGGGGCCGTGATTAGGCTGCTCTGCTATTACAGACACCGCATATAACATCTTATTGAAGCATGACCTCGAATGGATGGCTTTGAAAGGACTGATAATTGCTAGGTGTCCATAGACCTCCTTCTTGGCTGGAGTAAATATCTTCGTGCTTAAAAATGGCAGATCGACAGCTCGATATTGAAAAACTTTCTCGCACAACTTGCGAATAGCTTCAATAATCAAATGACATCCCACGCAAGAATCCCACCACCACAAATTCTTCTTTACAACCCAGCCCAAGGCCAAATCTGCAATGAAAAAAAAGATTCAAAAACTGGTCAGACGTCCATCAACACCCACCCCAATCCAGACTCCTAAGAGAACCAAAAGGGGGTCGAGATCATCACCACTTTCTATACAATCAAGCCACTGTCTCCAGCCACTCAAACGCCTTCCTTGCGGAAAGAACGAAAGCAAAAACGGTTTCACTCTAGGGTATCGAGGATCGACTCATCGTCCCAGTTGGAGTCTGTGGCTCTTGTAGAGAACACAGAAGAAGGACGTTTACTAAAGAAATGATTCTTTGAAGTATTGTCGATACTTTTTTCCCTGAGGGTCTGGGGAGGAAGGGATTTTATAGAGATTGGGAGTGGTCTGTGCGTGGGAGAAGCGAGTGCAAATGGTGCAAACATGGATGGATTGGGACTAGGGTGGAAAAATCTGTAGGAGAGTGGGGCGGGAGATGGGTTTGGAGATGTTTTTGGGATGTTTTTGGGATGAATTTTTTGGAGGGGGACGGATTAGCCTTGCTGCGAGGCTGGACTTGGGATGTGCGGCTATGTCGGGTGCCCAGGTGCACATGGTTGTGTGGCTGTCCACGTATGGCTGTCTGTATGGCTTGATTGGTAGATTTATTATTATGTATCTTAACCTTGGAAGTTGTCTGTTATATCCCTGCTACTTGGTGAATGGTCTGTTCTGCTTTGAGTGACTTCAGTCTTTCTTCATTCCTCACTCTTATGACTTCGAAATGCTCAACCAACGTGTTTGAATTGAATTGTGAAATACTCGCTTGGGAAATGGCATCCAGACATTGCGAGCCCTGGAGGCTATCAGCATTCATTCCAGTTCTGGCAATCTTGGACACTTTCCCTCTATTGCTTTCATCACCTACTCGGTATATACTCGTAGGTATGTTCCGAATCTTAACAGAAGAATGGGCTCAAACTAAATGCTCGGGATTATTCGCCAATGGCATCAGTACGAAAGGTAGGCTTGAGTTGCGAAATGTTATTCGAGTCTCGTTGCAAGTTGCTCTCTGGCTCAGAATTGTGAACTTCGAAGTCGAAGATCTGGTCATTGATTCTATATATCTCTCGCAATCTTTAGTCTTGAAGCTTACTACTTGGCTCAATGTATTTTATTGGTGGCTTGAGTATTGATCAACATATCATCTTTTCTCAAACCTGGAATTGAATTGATCTTCAATGAAGAAATACTTGTCCTCTTGCTTAGCCCTCCTCTAGTGAGTTAGCTAACCTGACTCATCAACTATAAAATACTTCCAACTTCCAACTTTCAACTCTCAATTTCTAAGGTTTACTTCAAAAAATACTTCTACATATTGATACTTGTACAAGTATCAACATCTTCTTTCACAATCCCTCTTTGATTGCCAGTGTTACCCACGAAGAGTGATCACGCTACTTGAGTTCCTGAAAGGTCATCTAACAACGGTCGATGATTCATACATTCATTGTCCTCCTATCGTGGTTCATTTCAGCAGTCGCAACTGCAACTTTCATCCAATATCTTACTACTTTTTTCAAAACTCTATATACCACATTTTCATGCAACATGGCACCGAAACGGAGGTCTAAGATTCTCAAACTTCTTCCTTCAAGGGCCAGAAAAATAATTACTTCTAGAGCTGCTTCGAAAAATTCAGATGATAAATCGTCTGTTGCCAATCCATTTCCATTTCTACAACTTCCTGCAGAAGTGCGGATTCAGATATATAAGCAACTTGGTCCAATTTCGAAACCTAATTCCAAAAAATTCTTAGTAATCACACGGGGTCATTTAAGAAGAGATCCCGAGCTTGTAACATATACTACAAAAAGGTGTTCAGAGGAAGATGAAAGTCGTTGCTACCCAGAAATACTATGTTTGAATCGGCAGATTTATCATGAAGCCATGCCACTATGGTATGGGGCCGATAAATTACATTTCTGGCTAATAAGCCCAGCAAGCCGATTCCACAAAAAAACAAGTCTACCGCGCCATTTACCTGACTTCCTGAGATTTATGACGTCGCTTCGCATCGACATTTTTACTGAGGATGATGATACATCATTGGCGTTAAAATCACGGAGACCAAAGATGTCTAAATTTTTGACAGAATTTGGAAACCGTTTGGCTGAACATGGCAATCTCAAAGAACTTCACATTCGCTTCTCATTGCGAACACCAATACCACTTCCACCCTCCGCAGTTCCTTCACTTGTTCTAGGCAGTCTTTTGGAACCTTACTTGGAACCTTTTCGAGGAACATCAGGACTATTGAACCTAACGACATCAATCGACGTACGAGAAGCGCATGAAAGTAATCAAATCAACTGTGGGGGAAGGATTTATTCATCGGTAGAGGAAGATGCACGTGCGTATCTGGACACTTTCGAGTCTGAAATGCTCCAAACCACGAAGTCGATACATTGACATGCTACAACCATCACCCGTATCTCCACTTCCGCAAAATCATTGTAGAATTACATGTTTTGATACGAATACACCGTCCCTGAATACGATATATCATCTATCAGGATTTGACCACTTTCGGAAACTTTGAAAGATGGTAAATCGATCCACTCAGCAGTACTACATACATCTCAATATGATATTAATTGCTTCATATTGTCACGGCGCCAAGTACTCTACCACTAAGCCACGTAACCCAAAAGGGTATAAGTAGTTTGATCAACATCAAACCTACTAAGTAGAGTTATAACCAATCCGTGACACATATTTCCAGATGGCCAAACTTTTACATCACAATTTATTCTCCATCCATGCGACGAATGAATTTTTGTCATAATGTCGGTATAATATTCTTCGCACAAAATCAGAAGCCCAAGTCAGATGTCTTGTAAATACATATATATAAATTTTTATTAAATTATATTATATATTAATAAAGATATTAATAAATCAAAAAAGTGATTTTTGATATAAAAAAGTGATCTAAAACAGGGGTAGTCAGAAAGTAGGGTATCCGATTTAGTTATGAATACGAATAATTCACACGCCGCCTTATTAGAATCGAGTCGAGTCATGACATGTGATTATATAATTATCTAGAGAGTTATTAGATGTATGGTAGATTGTAATGTAACTGTGAGATATTGACATCATTCAACATATATAGGAGCTTTTCAGTGATAACCTTACGCATTTCGTGTGGAAAGTTGAGGATTTGCTCGCTTTCGTATAGGGGTGTTGTGGAGATTAGATGGGTGTATTGGTAGGATGAGGTAGATTTTGTGTATGTGATGGTTTTAAGTTTTCTGGAGAAGTTGGTGATTGTATAGGAATGGTTTCTAGGAGAGTTTGTAGAATGGGGAATTGCAAAGTTGGGTATTGGAGGGATACCAAGATACGTGATGTTTCGTGATCAGATGGGATATACTGGAGTTTACGGCAGTTGTTCGATTTCTCTGGCGATATATCGGGTGGATTGGGATACTTTGTTAAACACTAGGTAATAGGTATGAGTAGATGAGTAGCTGTGCCGATTATTGAATTAGAAGTAGGGCAATGGAATGAATGATCCTATGTGAAACCGGTTGCGAAAGTGGTTATTCAACATCATTTGGACAACAAAGTTTATATCGAGCTGAAGATGGAACATTAATGATAGTGGTTAAATACAACCTAGAGAATCGAGAGATAACAATATCGCAAAGCTTCCGGAGACTATCACCCCAAGACAAATAAAAGCAACATCCCAAATAACAACGCCTGAGTACTTAATCAAAGATAGAGATGAGCATCTAACCTGGAGAAAAATGCAAAAATCGCGTTTCTAACCCTCGGGATGATCTCATATGGGTGGATGAAAAGCTTGATCCAGTATTCCGACTTTCGATTCTGACCCTTTGTTGATCAAGTGTACAGTCGTGGAAGATGTCATGTTCAAATCAGTACTTCTCTCGTATCACTCTTCCCCGGGGTTTTTGGGTGTATCCTCGCTTAAGCCATACAAAGTGCCATTTCGCAAATCTTGTTCAATTCGTTGGATGTCTGCCTCGGTAACAAATGTACACCAAGCCTCGTCTAGTTCTTGAACCATGCTATAACAAATCTGAGGGGGCTCAAAAGATATCGAATGTTGAAGGAGCCTCATTGTCGTATTTGGAACCAGTGGCTCTTCCCATTGCCCAGGCATATTCTTGGAGAACTTTCCGTTTTCGACGAAAGCTTCATCGACTTGTGAGAGGCATCTACCCACACCAGTTCGATCGCAACGTGGCCGACCAGCTTCACATAAGAACAGGGGATCAAGATGTGAGTACTCCGGTAAAGTTGTAACATCTATTTCAATCGAAAGATTGTCTTGCTGATGCTCATGAACAACCGAATAATTTATGCCCTTACAACAATGGATGATGTGGCCTTTCAAATGCCTTTTTGGAATGTTCTTTTCATCGCTACCACCCTCGTCGCTGTTCTCTTGACCGTCACTCTCGGTACGTGGATGATGAGGAAAAAGATCAATTCCTAACTCAAAGAAGGGTTTCGACCATATTCGAAACACAGCATTGGTAATACCCACGCTCCAAAGGCATGCTTTTATGATCTCTACAACTCCCTCTATGTATATGTCAGTGATAGTACGCGGGAGGTGCTCTCCATTTGATTCGCGTAAATACAAGGGTTTTAGTATTTGCTTCAAGATAAGGGCAATCTTGTACTCGAATAAGATCACTTCAAATTTTTCTTTTCCAAAAAACCAATGATGGGACAATGATACGAGCCATGTGCCTACAAGATCGGATATCATTCGTTGCGCAATATTCCCGGAATGAAATGAATCGAAAGTCCCGAGTTGGAATAAGTCTTCCGCAACCCTGGCAACTGAAAAGTCGACAACTTCGGCATCTTCTGCTTCTACGATAACCCGTGGTAACATTGAAGCCGGATCATTTCCGATTGGTTGAGCTGGTTTATGCTGGAATATATAACGCCATACGGAAATACTTAATTTTCGGTAAAAAGGCCCACCTGATCGCGATACAAAGAACGGCCATAACTCAAATCCAGCTTCAACTATAGCAGCAAAAGAAGTCAATGCTGATGCCACCGATATAGGGGGACTGTAATAACATATGAGCGGGTTTCCTTGTGAATTAATTACATGACGAATAACTTACTCGCCATCATCAACCTCCCAGTGTACATCAGCCCCGAGATCAAGAAGCATTGTGCAAAGCTGCGAGTTGTCACGCCAGAGGGCTATCTGTAAAACAATAAGCAATGCCAGTTTATGTATCTTTTCGTGTTGCGATACCTACATGTAAAAGAGACTCTCCGTCCTCGTCGACATCATGAACAGATGCTTCACCGCGATCTAGTAATCTTTTCACACCTTGAGTGTTGCCGTGTTCACATAGTCGAAAGATTTCGGAATTATTTGGTCGACGCCGAACAACATCAAGTGTTAAATGATCAAAAGTGCTTGTCGTCGTGAATCTGAACCCTTTTCGACATGTCGTAAATCCCATTAAAAGTTCAACCAGGAAAGTCTTGGTGGTTGTCGAATTGTCGGCATCGTCTGTCCCATCGTCATCGTTATATCGGTGAGTGGTAGAAATAGTTCGGAAATTGAGAGTGCCTAGTAAGAAATTCGTCTTGTATTGATTAAAAGACTTAGAAACGCTACCAGCAGTACTTTTCCATCCACCTGAGGGAAATGATTGACTCTGTGTCATTTCTTGTGATGTTTGAAGCGCAATGTGGTGTGTCGAGTTTATTGTAGTAGCTATAGAGCTGATATTCGTACTTAGGACATCGAGCCTACTGCTGACTCGAATCAAGGATGCTCTGTACTCAGCGGGTCAATTAAATAATCATTTTATAGGCAGAGGGTCATATTACTGTTGTCTGCTTCCCTGAAGTAGGGCCATAGTGGTCTTGACGCTTTCAAGGTTATCCCTAAACCTTTCTATCTTGCTCGCTTTCAAGACCATCTGAACTTTTCTCCATTGCCTACCGAGACTCCCATTGGCAACGGATAACTTTCGCGACAAAACCGAGATAAACTCTGAGAGTTGATCAATATCGTCTTTTGCTAACTCCAGAGCGTCATTGACCATGCTTTCGAAATTTGTAGGTATGCTACCAGCTTCATATTCAAGTCGAATTGTATGAAAGACGCTAGCCACAAGTCGAAGCTGTTTAGACAAGCGGCGAATGTCTGAAGGAGCATCCTGAACAGCTTCCCAGAATTCAGCTGCTTTCCTCAGGGCATCCCCAAGTTGTACCGCTAGTGTGGCAATACCAATGACGCTTGCTGTGAAACCGACAGGATCCGCCATAATGTACAATATTAAGACTTCCCTGAGAAAACGAATGATGAACAATAAATGAATTAGTGTATGTTGGGAGCAAAAGAGGAAGTCGTGATAAACGTAGATTTAAGTGGTGTGTTACACTCAGCATCAAAAAGAGATAAGCCTCGCGCAACCAAACTAGCAAACAAACATTTGAGTGAGGCACTGCTGTATGACATTGGCTTTGGCTGCAGATGTCACAATTTAACCAGGATACAAGTCGCGAATAGTTATTGTAGGTGGTTGACCCTGTTATACTACAGTAATATGGATATCATGACATTCCTTTTAATTCTGCCTCGACCTCCTCGACAACAATTGCCCGAACATCTTCCCAAGAAGTACTAGGTACAACTCTGACTCGTTTCTCTTTTTCTTCTAACCCAACAAATTCTTTGGGGAGTACTGTATCAAAGCTGAAGCTCTTTTCATCCTTCAATGCAAGATCAACAGCATTTGCAAATTTGGCTGGGTGTGCTGTTGAGAGAGAAATGTGATATGCATTTGGTGAGCGGGAGACGGATCGTAATGAAGCAGCTACACCAATGGCTGAATGTGGATCCAAAACGTAGGAACCACTAGTATAAAAATCCTTAATTGTGTCGATGGTTTGCTTGTCGCTGACTCTTTCGCTCTCGAAATCTCTGTTCGCAGCCTTGAGGATTTCGTCTTGGACATTGAATCCACCGTTTGTTTTCAATTGTTTAAGCCAGACTTCGACTTCCTGACCAGCTTGCTTTTTATTCCACTCATCATCCATACCAGCGGCAGAGGCATACTCGTAGGCCAAAAACCACAGCAATCGCTCAAAATTACTTGAGACAAGAATGTCCATAGCTGGACTAAGTGTCTCCTTGACACCATCCTCGTGTGCTTTGACTCCATCTTCAACGAGTCCACCTTCAGCTTCGACACCATGAACCGCCTTCTTCTCGTAGTGTCCCGTTTTCCAGAAGCGGTATAAAATGTCATTCTCATTCGTCGCAATCACAAGCTTTTCAGCCGGTAGACCCATGCGCTTCGCGAAATATCCAGCCAGAATGTCACCAAAATTGCCAGTAGGCACCACAAAGCGGACTTTGTTTTCGGGTTTATATCCAGACGACTTTTGAAGAGAGAAGTATGCATGGAAGTAGTATGTGGTTTGTGCCAAAATTCTTGCCCAATTGATAGAATTGACAGCTCCAAGGTTCATCGTCTCGTTGATCTGCGGATCCGCGAATAGAGCTTTGACAGTATCCTAAGAACTATTAGACATGTCAAATATATGTAGATGTATGACTCACCTGGCAATCATCAAAAGTGCCTTCAACAGCCAAGTTGTGCACGTTGGCATCCAAAACTGTCGTCATTTGAGCCTCTTGCACAGGGCTGACTCTACCCTTTGGATGCAAGATGAAGACTGAGACATCTTTCTTGCCTCGAAGACCGTAGATAGCTGCAGATCCAGTATCACCACTTGTAGCCCCAACAACTGTAAGATGGTGTCTGTCTTTTCCCTCCTTGCCTTTGTTCCGCCTGACGAGGAAGTATTCGAAGAGATTTCCAAGTAATTGTAATGCAACATCTTTGAATGCAAACGTAGGACCGTGGAATAATTCTAAAAGGTATAGATTATCCTTTTCGCTGAGAGGAACGAGAGGTGTAGTTTCCGGAGCGCGAAATGTAGAGTAACTTCGATTGATGATATCTTTCAAGTCTGCATGTGGGATTTCGGAAGGAGAGATGTAGAGAGAAAGGATTTCGAATGCGAGGTCAGAGAACGACAAGTCCTTCCATTTTGACTCCCAGTTCTCAGGTACTGATGGAATTTGTTCAGGAATGAATAATCCTCCATCAGCAGCGAGACCTTTCAGCACGACTTCTTCGAATGATAATCCGTAGTCGCCACCTCTGGTCGACAGATATCTTTGTGAAGGGGTGTGGTCAGTCATGATGCGCAGTTTATATTGTGGTTGGATGCGAATAACTTCAATTGAAACAATGTTTTTGATCAATGCAAAGATCCGCTCCGATGTCGGGTTCTGTGCGGAAACCCCGCCATCTAGCGTATCCTCCGCAACCCCGCTGCCCAGCGGAATATTTTCAACATTATGATAAATCACTTTGTTCCTGATCGACAGTCTACTTCAATGTTGTATTTAACAATCCGTCATGATGGGATCAAACGAGGACTGGCTTTTCTTGAAGAAGGCCCATATTTGCACATTTTGCATCACACTGGAGAACGATAAAGTACCATATCTCAAGTATGGAGACCGCGGGAAGAGGTGACTTTTCTCCTTAATCGCCCATTTGCCAGGTAAGTTGCATATTGCGTGATTGTTAGGTTTCTACAGGTGATCATACACCTACAGTCCGAAACAGAAATATCAAGAACATCCATATTGCTTGGACTTTTGATCCCAGAATCACATCATGGCACAAAATATATACGATCAAGATGACTTCTTCAAAGCATATGCTCAGCTTCCACGCTCTGTCCATGGATTGGAAAAGGCGCCTGAATTTGAAGTGTTACGTTCTTGGTTACCAAGCCTTGAGGGATCGAACTTCCTAGATCTTGGATGCGGATTTGGCTGGATGTGTAGATGGGCGCGAGAAAATGGGGCAAAATTTGTTCAGGGTACAGACGTATCTGAGAATATGTTAGCTCGAGCACGAGAGTACCCAGAAGACCTTTCTATCAGTTATCGCAAAGCCGATCTGGAGACGTTACGGATATCTCCAAATGAGTTTCATGTTGCCTACAGCTCACTGGCTCTTCATTACATTGAGAATCTTCCATCCCTTGTCGAGCAAGTCTATAAATCACTGAAGCCTGGAGGAGCTTTTATCTTTTCTGTGGAACATCCCATTTGGACTGCCCCACGAAACCCTGACTGGATTAAAGATGTGGAAGTTCGAGACGTCTGGCCACTAGATGGTTATCCTCTTGAGGGCCCTCGAACGACAGACTGGTTGGCAAAAGGGGTAGTCAAACAACACCGTTCGATTGCTACATATATCACGATCCTTCTTGGTGCTGGCTTCATATTGTCTGCAATCGATGAATGGGGACCAACACCAGAGCAGATAAAGGAATTTCCAGACTGGGCTCGGGCAAGGGATCGTCCTCCGTTTCTACTTGTAAAGGCTACAAAACAGGCCAACTAGAGTACATAAAACACCATTATATCGAGGAATGGCTTGATGCCGCCCGTGCCGGCTTCTGGAATTGCAAATCCGGGCATCGTTTTAGTACTGCTTCAGGCGAACGCGATAAAAGGGTCATCTAAGATGTACCTTTCTTCAATATTCGATATTGAATCAAAGAACCAAGGCTTCGATTAAAAGACTATTTCGGAAACTTTCGACTCGTCGTACAATTTAATCAATATGTAACCTTATTTGAGATCACATTGCTATCATTATGTAATATCGAAACATCAATGCTTTCAATATCTGATTTCGTTTGAGTGATACCACTTTTTACGTCCCAATGAAGGCCTGCATTACAGGGGCATCAAGCTGTAAGCACAAGCCAGCTAATCCACCGATCATCAATCTCAAAATTCATCCGTTCTTAAGATGACTCCTACGACATCTTTCTGGAGGTCAATCGACCGTCGTATGCTCCCGTGATGTTCGAATCATCTCGCGCAGATTATCATGGCTGGTTAGAGTTCAAAGAAAATGCCCTGCCTAGCAATATATTCGGCTACCTACTCGTCCAATACTTCCTCCGGCATTTCAAAAGCAAACCTTTCGATATTGCATGCTACGATGATCCCACTGAGATCGCAAAATGCGGGGCACTTGGCCAACGGAGCTTTCTGAAACAACCATTACCAATCCGAGAAGGTCCCAGACCTGAGAAGGGCAAATGGGTACACTGAGGTTAATCCTCCAGACCTCCAAACGAACTACTAACAAGCCAATATAGGTAGTGCCCCACAGGCAGATCAACCAATTCGGTGAAAATTATATACACAAACTAATCGATCAAGCCATTATCGACCTAGCCAAAACTTATCCTGACCACATAATTCTGACTACATCTGCCCTCGAAAAACACGGCGACGCCCTCTTGATCGCAGAAAAAGTCCCAACACCTCATCTCCCAGCACGTAAAACGAAACGAGAAATAGCACATGTTCATACAGAAGGAAAGAATGTGGATTATTCAATGCACGCAGTACTCTCGCCTAGGGATTGCAAAGATGTGATTGAGAAGGGCTGGGGTGAAAGAATGACCTTGGCTGGCACATTAAAGATGCCTGCGGAATATCTGATGATATATACCCCAAGAACAGATTCGGAATTGAAGATTGTGAGAGATATCTTGGAGGCTGCGATTGGGTTTATGACTGGTGCGACGAGACCTGTCGAAGAGTAGCGAATAGGCTATTCGGCCGAGGAAGACACATCATAGATCACAGTTTACAGCCTAATCACATCTTTCTCGGTGTACATGTCTATATCTTTGTGATGATGGAATGTCTGAAACAGTCATTTCGAACAATTTTCAAACTCACTATCTTCAGCAAGAGTATCCCAAGTGGGAAATGCAATCACTTTTTCTATCCGGTCACACGCCTAATTTAATCCACAAAAAGTTCACAATATTCACAAAAATTTCCTGAAAGGTATTCATTCGAATATCTAAACATTGAGTATCTGGCATAAAAAATAATAGCTATCTAGTGTGTTTTTCTAACCTAGATTCATTATCCACCCAAACCATCCGACCGTTTCCATTCCTATCCTTCCAGGCTTGCGCCATTCTTATATGTACTGTGTGTCCTGTCCCATACCATTCCATCCTATTCCCTCGTTTCATTCATTTCTCTTTATTTTATAAGGGGTATTGTTTTCATCCATCCATAAGAAACCGCAAACCAATCCACACGCATATCGCACACAAGACCAAAAGTAAAGTACAAAAGAGAAAAGAAAATACATGTCCAGTTCGTTGACCCGAACTTTCCGTTTCCAACCATCAAACAATCAATCGCCCAAATCGCAAAGTCCAAGAAAAAGAATCCGATAAAGAAACCCACCATCCATCAATGATTCAAAGGATAAGGGTGATACTTCCCATCATTGGGATACATATCATCGTTCGCACTCCCCACGCTCCCACCACTCAATCTTGATCCTCTCGTTCCCGCAACCCCAGCGCCAACATTAACAGGTACCTCCCCCCTAATGTAAGGTATCTCATCTCTTTCTCTCCTTCCATAAGTACTTCCCATCGTCATCCCCGGATATCCTTGTGGCGCACTCGTATATCCACCTGGGGAAGTCCCGTAGCTAACACTCGCTCTTCTTGCTCGTCCCGGAACTGCATTTGCTCCCATGGAACTCAATGGTGTGAATGGGTTCTGCATTTTGGCCGCTGGCGGAGTACCCGAGTTGCGTTTTTCGCGAGAGGAGGGAAGATCTTCGTCTCTGTATCGAGAGCTGGGACTCATAGGATTAACATCCCTTTCTTCGTCGCGATAAAGTGGTGAAGGTGGTGCATCTCTGTAGCTTGTTCTTCGCTCTCTAGCCTGATGTTGTGCTCTAAGTCTTTCGTCTTCTTTCCTCCTAGCTTCGGAATCGCGTTCTTTTTCGCGGCGTGTCATGGGTGGTGTGTTTCTCTCCACTGTTACTGGAATTCTTTCTCCTCTTTCCTTCTTCTCAGGTGTAATCTTAACATTGGTGTCGGATCCACGAACTCGAATCCCATCACTCTCTTTCGCCTCTCGTCCATCTTTGGCTCGAGACTTCTCTTTCTTCAAATCTTCAATTATACGGAGAGACTCATCCCTTTCACGACGGAGCTCCCGTTTCTCCCGATTGCTTTCTACTAATGTGTCTTCGAGAGAGCGGTTCTTCGATTCGAGAGATTTGATGCGTTCCTTGAGTGTACTGAGTGCTTCATTGAGGGCATGAACATTCTGTCTTTGCTCTGCGCGGTCGGCGTCGGTAAAGAAAGATGCCGAGTTTACTGGCGCAGTAGCGGAATTGGAAGAAGAGGAACCGATTCCAGAATCAGAGGGGTGGCGTTGATGAGAGAATGAGGGACGACGGGGTGTAGAAGTGGTTTTAGATGTAACGGGTGGTGTTGAGGGAGTTCCGCCGTGGACTGAAGATCCTTTGGTGGAAGAAGTGTAGTGCACTTTCTTGACGGGCTTGGAAGACATGCTGAGAATGCTGTGTTTGTGTACAAAGGTACGTTTATGTACCACTGTAACTATTTGTGTAACCTGAAAGGTTTGCTCCGAAGCAACTCGTACCAATCGTACGTTGTGTTTCTGACCCGACGATGTCAGATTGCGATTGATAAATCAAATGAGAGCGGGAAAATAATTGGATAACGGGTATGGGTATTGATGCAGTGGGAAGTAATCTATTCGTCGCTGATGTGAAATGAATGGATAAATGAGACCAATTCTATTCGAGAATTATTCTTTGCAGGTAGGATGAATGTAGATGCAGATGTAGATGAGATGGGAATCGAATCAATAAATATAAGGCTGAACAAGAAACACCTCTTTTTGATTCCTCATTCCTGGCCGGAAATTTACCAGATATATACTCCTATTCTACACCAATTTCCAAGCCATCCGATACATAGCCATATCATTCCAATACCATAGCCAACCTGCCCCATGAAAATGAACACAAGAAGGATCAATAAACATATGACTCTTCTTCGAAACCGGTGTCTATTATCTATCGTTCTTGTGCTTAGCCTAGTACCTGCCTACAAAGCATCCGGGTTTCGAAACAATCATGTACCCTTTCTGCCTTGACTCGATTCGAGCTTCCAATCACAGCCTCAGTCCTGATGGGGTATTTGACATTTCGCACTTTTCCTTCGCGGCTCATGGCGTAACCGGGGTTTGAAAAGGGATGGTTTCCTAATGATCTCACCGAAGTGGATCCTGGTTGATCATCCCGTTGT